ATTGATAGAATATTTTGATGTACCAAAGTATTAACCCGACCAACCCGATTAAATCGACCATTCTGTACGTTTTGGGTTGGGTTGTGTTGGGTTGCACTTTAGTTTAGGTTGTGTTGGGTTGGGATTTTCAAAGAGCAAGTATTGAATTAGATTATTCAGATGTCTTTAACCCGATTAGCCCAACCCATGAGCAACCTTATTGGGAGTCAAAGCATTATATATTTTTTGAAAATATAAAATTACTATATAAAAATCAAATAATATGAAATATTATGGGTGTCATTGTACTTGGATCCCCTTCTCAAACACAACGTCCGCCTATAATATATATACAGAGAGAGAGGAGGTTTACTTTGCAAACCACGTTATTTGTACAAACCGTACAAACTTCATTCAAACAATCATAATTTCTCATTTTGTTCATTTTTTTGTAATTATGAGGGGTTGATTAATCATTTTTATTGTGGAAGGTATTAATCATGGATATTATCATCTTCATTTTTTTAATTTTAGAGAAATACATGAAACGGTTTCATTAAAATTTCATTAAGTATTATATGAAATAATGTTTGCTCCCTGCTCTTGAATACATGTTCCCTACTCCTCCCCATGCTTGTTCACTACTCCTCTTTACTTGTTCCCTACTCTTTCTACCATTATATAAATACCCCTTCGGCCCCAACCTTTTAGATATCCAATATACAAGTTTCGGCCTCCTCAACATAGCAGTACCACAAATACTCTCTTTAGAAACTTTTCATTCTATATAATATATGTGATTTTATGAGAGTATTCTTGATGTTCTCTAGAAACTTTTCATTCTATATAATACTCTCTCTAGAAACTTTTCATTCTATATGATATAATATATGCGACACCATTGAGTGTTGCTACAAAGCTTTTACACATGCATGCTTCTTGGAAATGCTGAGGAATTCATGACATCCACATCAATTGCTTATATTGAGTGCTCATTCGAATCCGTCAATCCTTAATATTTTGGAGTGAAAGTAGGGATATTATATTTGTTAGGTACGTCGACCAATGAAAGTAGGGATATTATGCTTGAAATCCTGTAGGTGGTTCTACATCGAGGGGAATAGCTGCTCGTGGTAATTTTGACAGTAGCGACAACATCTTTCCTTTTTATTCCTCTAACTACTTTGAACATCGCGTAACAGGATCATCGTGATCGATGCCATTAGCCATCATTAGAGGAGGAATAACGCCCCAATCGATATTGTAGGAGGAATAACGCCCGAACTTTGGGTTGTAAGACCTCTGTTCTATGGGGGGTTCAGTCGCATGGTTTATTATATATCATCACCAAATACATGACTATTTGTGACAAGAATTGTTGTAGTCATTGGGAATAATGGCATTAGGAAAGAAGTATTTGTAGGTATGGGAATCGAAGGGATAGGCATTGATGGAATTCCCAATGATAGAGGCAGAAAAAACATTATAGGTTGCGCAAGGGTGGCGGAAGCAATTGCACAGTGCTTACTGCAGGAAAGCTTACGGGGTGAAAAAGAGGATTAAAAACAGTGAGTTCCGCAAGTCAAAGATTTCCTGATGGGCTTTGCGATTTTGCTCATCCAACTGATTGATACGCCGAAGAACTGCTTCCAATTCTGCCCTCATTTGAGCTAAGACATCATGACTTGCTCTAGCCATCTTCCTGAATGTTTTTCAAAGAATGGCTTTAGTTGGGGCCCACGGTGGCGCCAAACTGTTTGTGCCAAAAATTACTTTATTAAAATAACTTAATGTTGTTGTGGAGCTTTAATAACTGAAGATCGTATTCTTTGATAAACACACAACAATCACATGAAAACAATAGAACACATGAATTTAGTGACACGTAAAACCCCTGTCGAGGATAAAAACCACGGACAACACTTAAGATCGTCGATGCACTAGTGACGTCAAACAGGAACGTTGTCCTTTGTATAACAATTGTCATACTACCAAGATTACAATATGATCGTAAGGAAAGAATCGTGAGTTTGCTTGAGAACGTCGAGAGTGCTTCGAGTGAACTTCGTATGTTGCCTGTGTAATTCATATGCAACATGTGTGTTTCAATTGGGGTGAGTTTTGTTTATATAAGAGTTGTCTTTATAAATACGTCTTTATGAGCCTTGATATCAGCAACGGTCTAATGCTTGCTTTCGGTTATGTCTCTTATTATTAACTATGGGAAGACCTGCATTAAACACTTACAGAATGTTGTTTGTCGAAAGTTAGTGGCAACAAATGTCATAAACATACGATCGTCGTTAGTTAGTGAAGATAACGTCGTATGATTATTGTCAACAGTGATGACCGTTAGTCTCAATGAATTTGGTTGATAGTTCTTGTCCATGACATATACTTGGACATCAATTTCTAATTGGAGAAGACTTTTCCAGAGAGCATGGTGTAGGCTTTTTTTTAAACGTAGGACTTCATTCAGTGAACCCGCGATCGCCCTCTGAACGATCGATCGAGACTTTGATAACTTTTACCAAAACAATTACATGAAATCTTTAGCTGTTAAATTAAAAAGTATTTACAAGAAACAAAGTTGTGACAAGAAATTATCACCTTAAGGCTAAAAACCGCGGACGATCGTAGTTATCTTGAATGCACTATAGACATCAAGAAGGGTGTTGTCCTTAATAACTGATGTCGCTATTACAGTTGTCCTTAATTAATAACTGTCAACCGTCGTCACTATTATAGGATGTGATTAATACGTAAGTCAAAGATAACAAATTGAGAAGAAATTTCAGTAGCAAATGATTCTTCGAGAGCAAAAATAATTTGAAAGTACATTGTTGTAATAAAGAAAAACAAAAGTAGAATGCTATAATAAGAAAAAATTTGAAAGCAGGTTGTTATTTCATGCATTTAACCTTTATGAATATCAATAATTACATATTAAATGTTGTTGTTGCTCCATTTATGAGGATTGATTACTTTAAATAAGACGATTACTTTTCTGAGTGGCTTTCATTAACCATGACCAAATGTCAGGTCCTAGGACAGTCGACAAAATATTGGCGACATGCTACAGCCGCGACAGGCGATCGTAAGATGTTAAGATGTCATCTCGAATGACTGACAGAGGATGTCTTTTGGTAAGCAGTCATTGTGATTATTAACGATCATATGTCATGGATATGATCGTCGCGGATAATATCCTAGTCGGTCGAGGATATGATCGTCATGGAAAATACAATCGGTCATTGTTATGGATTTTTCAACCAAACAGTTATTAAATTAGTTGCAGATGCGGTTTAAGAGTAAATTTTGGAGTCAACTTAATCCACACCATTGATTATCTACATAAACGATTTAATCCACACCAAACTTCATGACAACATACATCCCCTGCATCATTGATCTTTAAGATGTACAGATCCATCTGTGTTTGTGTGAACCCTCCATTTTATGAAAGAGGGTCGATCAGTTATTTGGCCATCTACATCAACGCTGCTCGGGACTAATATGTTAACGTATTTTAACATTTAATGGGTAAAGGTCAGTTAACATACGTTAACATAAGTTAAAGACTTAAAGGTACGTTAATATTGTTTGTTTTTAATGTTAAAAGTTTGTTAATGTATATTAATGTTCATTAATTGTTTTTCATGTTAAGACATTTTAAGATTACATGTTAAGACATTTTAAGATTGTATGTTAATATATGTTAAGGTTCTCATATGAATACATGTAAATTAATTAAGATTATGTACGTTGTATGTTAAGCTATGTTCATATACATTAAGATTTGATACGATACATTAAGCTGTATTAATTAATCTGGAAGGAAATTCACGTGATTCTCGCTAGGAAGAGAAGAAATTTTATATACAATTTCTTCTATATAATTCTGCCAGGTGGCAATGGAAATTCAATACCAAGATGTGGTGCAGAGAAGCCCACATACCCATGGATCTTGATAACACGATGCATATTGCCTACGAGAGTTGACTTTATGCATTCAAAATACGTTATGTGTTATTCATCAATTATATATATATATATATATATATATATATATAAAGAGAGAGAGAGAGAGGAGTGATGATATGAAAACCGCCCTCATTTGTGTAAACCGTGCAAACCACCTTCATCTGTCGATTTCATTGTTTAATCTTATGAAATTTTTTCATGAAATTGTATAATCTTGTGAAATTGTTTTATATAATACTTTTTTTGATGAAGTTGTTTCATATATGGTTGTGAAATTGTTTCATATAATACTTAATGAAACTGT